GCTAAAAAACAGGTCTGTTTCCTTCTCCCGTTCTGCCCCCTGGTTTACGCCTGAACTTCGACTCGTGAAAGCCAAAGGCCGACAACTTGAACGGCTCCAACGCAAATCTGGACTAACTATTCACAAAGACATTTACAAGAATCACATGCTGCACTACAAGGACTGCATCACCCAAACAAAATCCAATTACTACACTGGTTTAATCTGTTCACATGAAGGTAACACGAAATCACTATACTCACTGTACAAGAAAATTGTCCAAGCCCCAGACTCTCTACGATCTCATCTGTATCTAACTGTATTCTGTAACTCCCTCATGGCATTTTTTGATGAAAAAATCCAGAAAATTCATAAGCATCTTAGTCCACAACCCACCTCCGACACTACATCTGAACTCCCCCATTCTACCCACTCTTTTTCCTCCTTTCTGCTCCCCTCCATCTCAGAAATCTCCGCTCTCATCTACAAGTCTATGCCTTCCACCTGTCAGCTGGATCCTCTCCCCACAGATTTAGTTAAGACTCCACAAACCCCTCCCCACCAAATAATAGCGGTAACATAGTTAAATCCCCTTTTTAAGCTATATGGTATAGTTTTATAATATGGAAAACAAGCGAAAGAAACATGAAGTAAACATCAAGGAATCGGGAAGCACACATCCTCGTGCCGAATGTAAAGGCATCAGGAAGGACACATCCTTGTGCCGAATGTAACAGTATCACAGAAATGGCAGTTTATGTTAGTTTTAATCGTGTATAACAGAGAAAACGCTAAAAAACACTCATCACAGTCCAGTTTTCTTCAGAATTTCCTCCGCTTCTTTTGCCGTTCTAAAGGTGTGTTCCTCGTGGTTAAAGGTAAAGCGTAGCGCAGTTGGATAGCACATCTGGAACCGGATTCCTCCCTTAATGAGACGCTGGCATACTCCGTTAAATTGCCGTCGGACTTCACGAGTTTGAGTTGAAAAGTCTGATCGGATGTATATTCTGGAGCCCTGGTAGTCAATGTCTCCTTTCTCCCTGGCTGCTGTGAGGATCCGCTGTTTGTCGCTGAAGTTGTGTTTATTTAATAATTATTGGTCTGATGCGGTTTTCCTTAAACGGTCCGAGTGCTCGATGCGCCCTGTCAATCTTTACAATCCCACTCTTAGTCTCCAATGCAAGTACGTATATCTGGGAGTCACGTCTCGAGAAACATGGTTATATGTTGACCTTCAGAGCCCTCTTTGAGTCCGATAACTAATATTATCTCTGGGACTCCTGATCTCACTGTCTTCATAGTGCTCGTTAAGAGCTTTAAGTTTTTGTTGGAGTTTGGAGATTTGGTTCTTCAGTAATGTCAGGCGATCTTGGCCTTCGGAAATACAGCTCTCAGACTCCATTATTCTCTTGGTGTTGTCCTTAATTTCCTTAAACTGAGTCTGTCTAGGGTGGAAGGTAAGTCCGAAAACTTTTCCTCCATTAGGGAGCTGATCCTCACAATTACGGTCTCAGCAATAATTGCCTCTGTGTTTTCCTCCATGTTGTTGTTTATTTGTGTTTATTTATGTTCCTTTGTATTTCCTTTGTATATCCTTAGTTATCAGAATAAATATAAATACCTGAGGTTTAGTCGTGAAAATATGATAAAGTCGGCATGAAGAGCTGGAGAATGGCGAAGTAGTTCCTCGCACGTAGAGCACATCACCTGACCCTGTTTGAAAAGTGCATCTTAATCATAGAGGGAGACGTATCACCATCAAGGCCCTCCTTGCATACATACAGTAAGAAACTTCCCTAAAATTAGTTGCTACGAATGGATTTGTGGAGCCATAACACAGCTCCACAAATGTGGGAGAAATGTGTCATTGGGCCTCCGGTTCGTCACCCAGTCAAACACCTCACCGTGTTTTCCAAGTAGTGCTGCATGATTTGGTGATGTGCAATTACGATTATTGTGGACAATATTGCGATTTGTGATATAAATGAATGATGTCATCTGTCTACTTGAATGAATATCAAGGATATTTATATCAAAAAATAAATAAAGAACACAAAGATATTTCTAAGAATAAGTGCAAAGGCAGTAGCACAATTGTAAACTTTAAGACCATTCTCTTGGCATTTTTCTAAACCTTCCAAGTACCACTTGATAATATATAAATAAATAAAAATGTAAAGACATTTTTTAAAAGTGCCTGTTTTTAACATAACTTAACATATAATTCTACTGCTGTTGGTGTGATTGACACATTTTTTAAAGTTGTAGTGTTACAAATTATAGCCCATTTGAAATGTAAGCACTGTTGAGAGATATATCTTGGGGAGGCACTGGGACACATCTTTAGTGATGTGCCTGAGGTCATCCGGCGTTTCAGGTCTTTCATCAGACGCCCTTCCTCAGGTGACCCAGCCAGGGTTGATCAGACTCTGGCTTGTGTCCCAGCAGTGCTGGCCTATTGGTCACCCCTCCTAATCCAGAGTCATCCAGAGGCTTTCTCTGTTGCCTCCATGGTGTTCAATATGGCTCTCCTTTTTGCAGCCCCCGTGATACCAAGCAGAGTGTAAACATTGCACAGTGAGCGACCAGCAAAGCCTATGCACCCTACTCCAATGGGTTCGCAGCTTGCTCTCCAGCCTTCCTCGGTACTGCTTCACAAGCTTCTGGTACTTGGACCACTTCTGCTCATTCGCCCCTTCAATGCAGTCCTCCAAGGGCTCTATCAAGAGAACTTGCCTTGAAGAAGCTGAGGAAAGCACAATGTCTGGCCTTCAGGAAGTTAATGTGATGTGGGGTGGGAACTTTAGCTTCTTGCCCAAATCCATCCTCATGTCCCAGTCTGATGCTGACTTGAGGAAGGCGGTTGGTACTTTGGGTTGTGACTGAGGTTGTCCTGGTGTTGCTTGGTGTTATAATTGGCTACACTGCTGGAGAAGCTGGAGGCTTCAGCTGCTGCATTCAACACTTGGTCGTGCTGCCACCAATAGCGGCCGTCCTCCAGTGCCTTTTGGCAACTTTTGATAATGTGCACACTGACTTATGTTATTGTAACAAATAGCCATTAAGCTCCACAGCCTTAGTGACTTTACTAGCCTTGACTGTAATGAACGTTCCTTGCACTGCCCCTAAACTACCAAAGCCTCCTTCAGGTCCAATGCAATGTTTTCTCCCGTGTGGTCTTGGGGAAAATACGATGTTTGCAGGCAGCGGCTTTTAAGCTCAAAGTCATTGTCGATAAAGTGGTGTCAGGCTTAAGCAAGGTTCCATGGTCCTACTTGACCACAAGTCTGTTGTGGTTGAACGAAACCTTCCATTTCAACTTGAACCTCACTATGGCATTTTTTGTAGAGCTGTGGTGTAGCGAAAAAACAGTTCTGCAAGGGTAGCTGACTTTTCTTGTCCAGCATGAAGATCATTTTGGGACTTTGGGACGTAAGGACATTGTACGTTTTACACAGCACATCTTGCTCAGTTATTCAGTTCCGCCTAAATCCAAAATTGCCATACAACAGAAGTTGCTTTCTTTTTTTTTTCATTACCATGTATTGTGTTTTCTGACGGTAACTATTGTTGGACAATACCACATCTCTCCACTTTCCATCACCTTTTGTGTATCTATGAAATTGCCTTCATTCACACATT